ATGTATGTATGATGGATGTATGTATGATGGATGTATGTATGATGGATTGTCTTTAGCTGGACAACCGAGAATTGAGGCACCTGATGGTGGTGTAGATGAGACTGGAGCAGGAGCAACAACGTGCAGGGCTGAATTCAGCAGAGAAGAGTTTGGGTCAGAACCATGAAGTGTGTGTGAGTGTGTGTGTGTGTGTGTGGGGGGGGGGGGTGACGCTTGACAGAATCAGAGTCGCTCCATTCAAACACAACCTGTTGTTGCACCAAAACAGTAATTTAATCGTTTACAAATGGAGGTAAATGTAGATGTTTAACAACGCGTCAAAATAGGCTACACCAAAATGCAGGAAATGGCATCTACTTTATCCAAAACATTTTGGGGGAGGACCCACAAACCCTGCGCCCCTCCTCACCAGACCGCCCTCTATTTGTGCTCTGGCATCGATTGGTTTACAAATTAAGCACCCCCCCCCTAAATACCCTTAATATTAGTTGTGATAACTGTTTCCAGGTGTTGAGTTTTGTTGACTCCTGCAGGTTTTAGTTGTAGCTTCATGTTCCAATGTGCATTTTTAAACATCTATTATTTAGTTATTTGAGGCGTAATGGAAAAGTGTCATGATGCAATGTGATTAACAATATTTTAGCCTGTTAGCAAGTTGGGAAGGTGTGTAGGAAAGAACCCCCCCACACCATCATATGGTCCCAGACCTCTGTAGTACACAGAGCCTGGCTCCAAACGTACATAATGGCAGCACCAAAAAATAAATAAAACTAACATTTTGACTTCAGTTTTGAACGATGGAAGTTACTGGGGTCACTTCCTCCATCTTTATTCAGGTCAGTGATTTAGACTAGCTGTGAGCTCACCAGTCTTCTGTCAGTTACTGCTTCTAAAGCGATCCAGAACTGGTAGGACATCACATATTTAAAACTTTTATACATAACCATAATTCAACAGAGACATGGACAAAAAGACAGGAGACAAAACTGGAAGTGTCAGAAATGAAGATGTTGAGGTTCTCCTTAGGAGAGACAAGGATGGAGAAGATCAGGAATGAGATCATCAGAGGTACAGCACAGGTTGAACACCTGGGAGATAAAGTTAGAGAGGACACACTGAGATGGTTTGGACATGTCCAGAGGAGGGACAGTGGTTTGGACATGTCCAGAGGAGGGACAGTGGTTTGGACATGTCCAGAGGAGGGACAGTGGGTAAATTGGTAGAAGGATGTTAGAAATGCAGCTGCAGGAAAAAGACAAAGAGGAGACATATGGATGCAGTTAGAGAGGACATGGAGGTAGTTGGAGTAGAGGACAGAGGACACAGAGGACAGAGTGAGATGGAGGAGGATGACTCATTGTGGAGACCCCTGAGGAGGAGACAGCTGAAAGAAGAAGAAGTGTGCTGACCTTTGGATTTCACATACTGCCTTTCCCACAGTCACCACTGGTTTGTTTCCAGTGTCCAGAAAAGCTCCTCTGATGGTAAGCATGGTGTTTCCTGACTTCGGGCCGAAGGTGGGGAAGATGTCGTGAATCGCAGGGTCCTGGATGGAGGGACAGTCATGCATATTCAAAATGTCTTTCTTTCACATTTGAGTAACCTACTGTTGATTTGTTTGGACCAGCTGAAAAACCAGGAAGCCTTTGTCCTGACTGAGGGTGAGTCTGCTTCATCTGGCACTCAGAAAGAAGACATTTACCGGTGTAACAGGCCAAATCAACACCTGTTCACATTGAACTCAAGTATAGGTTGGCCCTGGATGACAAACTGTTCTAGGCCAAACTGTATCTGGGTGTATAAAATAGCCTAGGCTAGACTATACCCCTCCTGACCAGTATATACCCATCTACATATCCATAGATACCCATAATCTGTTCTGAAGGATAAGATTTGGCCTAAGCCAAAGTATACCTGGGATATAATATAGCCTATAGACCTCTTTAAGCCCTGGTATAGTTCGGCCCGGGGATACACTGTGGCCGGTTACACTGACTCTTCCAGTTTTTCCACGTTGGTTTAGAGTCTAAACCAACGTGGAAAAAGGTGAGTCTAAACTTTAGACTCGCCTTCTACCGATCAATCAACATTTCCCCAATCTACCACAGTAACAACAACCTTCAGAGTGGTTTTATCGTAAAAAATGTCCCACATAGACACGCAGCATTTAGTGGCACGGTTGGAGTTATTCTAGGGTTTGGTCCAAGTTTTCTGCCACTACTACTTTTATGTTTTACTGGTAAAATGCTTTGGTTTGTTGGTTTATAGAAAAAACATCTAGCATTCTTTGAAAGAATGAGCATTCTTCACGTCACCTTTCATGCCAGACTTTTAAACTATCATCTTACTCGAAGTGACAGAGACATAATCACTTAGGTCAACCTTAAGTTTGGGGATGACTCTCAGCAACTACCACAATAACATTTAGCTCAATATCTGTAAAACTTACTGTTATACTTGGCTTTGTGTTTGCTAATGTCAAATAGCTGAAGTGGCCATCTTGAATTTGATAAACTCCTAAATTTAATTTGGTATAAATGTGATCTGAATGATTCATTAAAATCCAGAGGTTCATTAGATATTTTGCTAACAGAAAAACAGGGTTGATACCAACAGTTAATGCTCAAGTTTCCAAGAAAGATTTTTCCCAACGAGAAGCACAAAGTAAACGAAGTATTTCAGCTACTAATCCCAACTTTACCACAACTTGTGTTGGAGCCATGTTTGTGTTTTCTAACAGGAGTTGGACGTGGCAGCCATCTTGAACTGGGAACACACACACTGACACGTGTAAAATCATTATCACCCTTTTGCCTTTGGGTCTTAATTGTTTGGAAACTGAAACAAATTCATTTTGAGAGGAGACGGGTAAGAAATCGTGAAAAAGGTTTTGACCTGCGGTCCATCCTGAATTTACTGCAGGTTTTCTTTATCCTTTAGTTTTTTTAAACAAACTTCAAAAATAAAAGAATAAAATAAATTCTTACCACAAATTTGAAACCATCCATCTTGGCGACCTTGTGGCCACTGGTGACCTTCACTGTATGTCCTGATGGGGTGAAGTTCCCATTGAAGACAGGGAAACACTGCATCTCAGTCCATCTACACCCGACCCCCCCACAAACAACACACAAACCAGACATTATTCCACAGCTCCCAGCATTTAGCCTAATTCAATGATCAGTATTCTGAAAGAATGCACAAAGACACAATCTTCATCTGGGATTGTGTGAGCAGTGTTCTTTATCCCCCCCCCCCCCCCCCCTTTGTAATGAGGTTGTTTGGAGGAAAAAGGGCCGTTGAGTACGTCGAGGTTCCAGGGGATTTGGAATGAGGAAAAAGTTTGGATTCAGTCGTTTGTTTCTTGGGCAATTTTTCAGTTAAGGCTGTCATGTGTTGAATGTGGCAGGCAGCAGAAAAAAGAAACCGGGGGGGGGGGGGGGATCCTTAACGTTCTTTCTTCAACACAATAACCCCTATTAAAGCTGGCCCCCCACCTCCGACCCCCGTAAGACACAAGTGTATGGGTCACTTTATCTCCTGAGTGCCCACCACCTCATGGACGCAGTGGCAGCAGATCCTGAGAAGGAACTGAGCTTTTTACTAAACTCCACAGAATCCTAGAAAACCCAAAGTAACTTCCTCAGTCTTCAGATATGTGGTGGTTGTACACGACAACAGTCCCCGGTCTCTCTGGCACCAAAGGTTTCTGAATCCTGGTCTCAGAGTGGATGTTTTCCAGGGACCCCTCCCAGCAGGAGTTTAAATAACCTGTAGGTGTCCAATCTCCCATGCTCACTACAGTCAAAGGATTTTCAGTTACGATAAATGGCAGCAAACGGAGCGTTTTTGTGCTGCTCACCCTTTTTCAGTATGTACGAGCAAACCACCAATGTCCTAGGCCCAAAGGACCACGCATGTGTTCTCCAGTTTGGATGTAACTGTCATCATGTTGACCTCATGAGAGATGCATGCAGCTGTGTCTGGCATCAGGGTTGCCAGATAAACTTATATAGAAATGCAAAATGTATTTTACGTGTTATTTTTACATTTTTATGTGAAGCCTGTGTGGTTTTTCTGTGAGGAACCGGTCACCTCAAAAGTTTTATTTTGAAAAGATAACAAAGTGGAAACTACCATCCCAGGTGAGCTGCATCTTTAATGACAGAATGTGTGCACTCCTCCACATCGATCCCCTGGAGCTGTGACAGGAAGGGACAGAAATGCCCTCTGCTAACAGAGTTAGCTGCAGCACACGTTTCAGCTCCATCAGTGGGGGGTTTCAGTTGCAGGACTCGTGTAAAAGCAGTCTAAAATTCACCTCAAGACTCATGAAGAATGTGCACATGATAAAGTTTTAAAAACAAAAGCCTATTTTTAAATATTTGCCCAATTTCAGATACAATAGTCCCTCGTTACTTCATGGTTTGACTGTCGCCGACTCGTTCTTTCACGATTTTCAAATAAAGATTGGACAATTGTCATGACACACAATTGGCTGATTGATGGATGAGCCGCACGAGCAGCATGGATTGTTTATTTTAAATAAATTATTAGAAATGATTTAGCACCTGCTAAATATTTAGGTGGAGGGAGAAGCTCCCTCCTGCAGCCTGTCATGATCTCCGCTCTCTGCCACCTGTGGCTCTTGGCCACGCCCACATTTCTCCTCTGGCTGCAGCAGCTTCGGATTGTCAATTTAAAATGTTACAGTATTTGAATTTAAATAGTTTATTTACACAAAAGGAGGGAGCTTGGGAGGTGATGAGTGTGACTGCAGCGTGGCAGAGAGCGGAGATCATGACATGCTGTGCTCTTTTACAGCATTTAGTTTAGAAACATAGAATACTGCGAGAGTGTGGGCAGGGTTTACAAAGCCTTTATATATATATATATAAATACAAAAATTAACTATTACTCATTACTATTACTATTTGTACTACTAGCCCTACTTCGCAGTTTTCCACTTATTGCGTGCTTGGAATGCCCATCCTCAGCATGTTAACACGCACCTGTTGATGTTTTCCTGTCGAATCAGTTTGCAGGGAGTTCCCGCCACTTCCACAGACACCATGGAGGCCTTGAAGTTCTCCGTCTTGTCGAAGCCAAAGTTGTTTCCACAAACGGTCACTGCCGTGGAGCCTCGGACCGGTCCAGATGTCGGGGAAACCTAATGAGCGGGCAAGAGGCTGGCGTTTACATGTTCACCTGCTTTCACTGCACAAACATCAGCTCCTTCTTAAATAAACCAGAGAAAAATGCAAAGAACTGCAGAGACCAACTGTTACACAAGAAAAACAAACAGTACCTCGAATCAACACAACCACGGCTTAAAGCTAAAAGGAGCAACAAGGAAGGACAAAACTTCAAAGTAGCAAATGAGTGGCTAAAAGCACGGCATGGTGGAGCAGTGGTTAGAGCTGTCACCTCTGAGCAAGAAGGTTACCAGATCAAATCCTGGCCGGGGGCCTTTCTGTGTGGAGTTTGCATGTTCTCTCCGTGCATGCGTGGGTTTTCTCCGGGTACCCGTTTCCTCCCACAGACCAAAAACATGCATGTTAGACTGATGGTAACTCTAAATGTCCAGGACATCCTTGTAAAAGAGATTGATGATCTCAATGATTTCTTCCTGGTAAAATAAAGTAATAATAAATTGTTCCTAGGTGAGAGAGAGATAATATTGTCTTTTTTGTCTCTATGTGTCCCTGTGATGTACTGGAGACATGTCCAGGGTGTCCCCCGCCTCTAACGTGGTGGACATGGGAACTAGCAACCCCCGTGACCCGGGCAAGAAGGGAGCGGGTGAAGATAATGGATGATTGGAAAGCAATAATTAACCAAACTGTAGCTGCAAACTAAAATTAGAAAGATGGTAGCTATCAACGTTCTTCTCAATATTTAATTCATATATACTGTATATATATATATATATATATGAATGAATAAAAGTTACAAATACTACAAATCATAGAAAGCTGTTGATGATCAAGCCAGTTTGAGATGTTTAAAATAGCACAAACCTCCTGGAAGTAGTTTAATCCTTGAAAAAACAGCAGAGTGAATATTGATATAATCTAACAATTTATACCAGCTTATCATCTAGTCTTTCTGCTAGTCTTAAATCTAATCCTGTCTGTTGAAAATCACAGCAGAAGAGTTTTTACACCACCTTTTACTGTGCGCTCTACTGGCTGCATTTAGAGCAACGCTGGAAGTGCTCGGTTGTTTTTTTACATGCAGAGAGAAGCAGCGTGAGATGAAGAACTACAACTGGACACAAACAGTTACGTTGACATGGGGGAAAAAACAGGCTTGAATCCTGAAAGCGAGAAGGAAGAGCAGCTGTTAAAAGTCTACCCTTCAGGACCGTCCATAACCTTTGGTTCTACAGAGCCAACCCATGTGGACCAGAGGCAACACACACTTGCTTTTGGAAGAGGGAGAAGTTTGAAACAGGGGGGATCACGTGATAACTGGCCCAGCTGTTTGAGCTGCAGGGACAGAAAAATAAGTCTAGGTCCAGAGTCCAGAGTCCCAGCACAGTGTGGGGACAGACCGTAGTCATGGTTACCTGAGTGATGACAGGTGTGCAGTTGTCCTGAGTCCACTCGGATGACCAAGGACACTGGTTCTTTCTGGTGCATCGCCCGTCGCACCAGCCGCACTGCGTCACCCTCGATGAGAGCAAACACGATATGCAGGTGGTCAGCTGATCACAGCCAGGGCCAATCAGAGGGATCCTGGTGATCTGGGGGGGGGGGGGGGGGGGACAGAATTTAAGGATACAAGGATTTTTATTGGCTTTCTCATCACATGTGGTACATGAGGTGGAATGAAACTATGTACGCAGTGTCCCAGTTACATCCAACAGAAATACAAGTTGTAAAGAAAACCATTAGTAAGATCTGAGCCATGGACTAAGAAAATACTACATTCACTAAACTAATACACTAAACTAAGAAAACATTAAGCACTAATAGTTTATTTAAGACAATTTATGACAAGAGAACACGTCAATGCAAAGAAGGGGAAGCATACTTCTTTATTTTTAATCAAATATAAATGTCCTGTTCTGATCCAGAAAGACAGTTTGATTTATTTTTTTAGTTCAGGAATCCCCGTGGACTATGATGTTTGCAGATGACATCATGATCTGTGGTGAGAACAGGGAGCAGGTGGAAGAGAACTTGGAGAAGTGGAGGTATGCACTTGAAAGAAGAGGAGTGAAAGTCAGTCGTAGTAAGACAGAGTCCATGTGTGAATGAGAGGGAGGAGGTGGAACAGTGAGGCTTCAAGGAGCAGAGGTCACAAAGGTGCAGGACTTCAAGGACTTGGGGTCCACTGTCCAGGAACATGGGGAGTGTGGTGAAGAGGTGAAGAAGAGAGTCCAGGCAGGATGGAGTGATGGAGAAAAGTTTCAGGAGTGATTTGTGACAAAAAGGTGTCAGCAAAGGCCAAAGGAAAAGTTTACAAGACAGTGGTGAGACCAGTTATGTTGTATGGTCTGGAGACAGAGACATGGACAAAAAGACAGGAGACAGAACTGGAAGTGTCAGAAATGAAGATGTTGAGGTTCTCCTTAGGAGAGACAAGGATGGAGAAGATCAGGAATGAGATCATCAGAGGTACAGCACAGGTTGAACAACTGGGAGATAAAGTTAGAGAGGACACAATGAGATGGTTTGGACATGTCCAGAGGAGGGACAGTGGTTTGGACATGTCCAGAGGAGGGTCAGTGGTTTGGACATGTCCAGAGGAGGGTCAGTGGTTTGGACATGTCCAGAGGAGGGAGAGTGGTTTGGACATGTCCAAAGGAGGGCCAGTGGTTTGGACATGTCTGTGTCACTTCACCACTTGCTCTCGCCGAGGTTGGATGCTTCTCCTCTCCCTCTCTGCTTTGCTGCTCTGTCTGTCAGTGAAACTGCTTCTGAGCCTCTCTTGCATCTTCTGAACCATAATTATGGACTTGTTTTGACCAGTTGGTCCCTCAACTCAATTGACAACATTTTCTTCGAAGAGAAGACAGGCTTTAGTTGAGACGATTTGTCCTATTGACACGCAGCTGGATATCTCATCGACTTGAAAACTTGATGATGTGTCTCTCTCTGCTGCCATTTGTGGATTTTAAGGACGCTTATTTAATTGGATTTTCGATAACTGGTTCCTGCGTTTTGGATTTGGCTGGTTACTGGTTTTATCTACAAACAAGGAAGTCCTCGGCAGCAAATTTGGACCCGATCACGCTGCTTGCCTTTATGATGGCTTGGTTTGTGCCTCGAGTACCTAGACTCAAATGCTTTGGGCTGAATGGATCAGATCTCTGGGATTTTACTCAGTCATGTTCCATCGGTGTGGCCATGTAATGTGGACATTTCGGAACCAACTGGACCAACACAGACTCAAGGTAGATGTCATTAAGTTCTGCCTGTCCCCAAAACAACTGTGTTTATCTAAATTTGGTTCCCTTGTCTGGTCTTGAAGGCCATCTTATCTGAATTCACCTGGAGAACATGTGATCTGACACTCACCACCCCCTCCCTGAGGAATTTCCAACTGATAACCAGATGAACCAGCTGAATAAACTTGTGTCATCATTTCAGGACTCTTGGATTCTCATAGATGTTATTCTTGGCCATTCCTCAACATCCCTCGAGAATGTTTATGGATCTCACCGGAGGACATTGACTGATTATCTTATCAGAACTCTTACAGTGACCTTGAGAGCATCTATGATCATGTTGACCGCTCTCGTCTCCCCCGTCTGCAGAATGTCTACGTCACTATGTGCTTGTTTGTGCGAGGTGTTTTTTTAATATTAGAGGGGTTTTTTCTCAGGCAGGAAAAAAAAAGTCTGGTAGGAATTTTTTCGCCTCCAACTCCTCCATGTGTCCAGTTAACCACTGTTTTTGTTTGTCCAAACTGGTCTCACTTGTAAATGAGCCTTTGAGGCTCAATGTGATTTATCTGTCTAAATAAAGGTTGAATGAAAAAAAAGGAGGGACAGTGGGTATATTGGAAGAAGGTTGTTAGAAATGCAGCTGCAGGAAAAAGACAGAGGAGATATCTGGATGCAGTTAGAGAGGACATGGAGGTAGTTGGAGTGAGGACAGAGTGAGATGGAGGAGGACTCGCTGTGGAGACCCTGAAGAGGGAACAGCTGAAAGAAGAAGTGTCTTTGTTGGCTCAATGTTCATTGCTGCCAATTTCTCTGATAATTTGTCACTAATGTGCATCAAATCTAGTTAAATCTGCCATAATGTTCCTTAATGCTCCAACTGCAGCTCTTCTTTTACAAAGTTAAGACTGAGAAAGGACAATGGATGCATTGATAGTTCATAAATCGGTGGTTTAGTGCTTACCTTGTTCCCCGTGGCCATCAGCACGGCTCCGTCTGAGACAACAGGGTCCTGCAGAGCCACACTGGCAGAGACGGGTCTGGAGTCGAGACGGATGTTCACGTGAGGAGAAGCAAACCTGGAGACCAGCACCTGGAGAACGCAGGACATTTTAGGGTTTTCTATGGCTGCTCGCCATCACCAGAGTCTGAAAGCCACTAAAAGACTAGACATGGAAACTGGTGTAGCTGAATATCATTAGCTATAAGTAAATAATCAAAGTCTGCATAAATCTTCATAAACAGCAGAAAATAATATGTGGGGTTCCTACTCCCTGGCAAATATTCATGGTGTTGATTAAACTGTGGGATTAGATTTGACATGCTCATTAGACAGACTTGATAAACCAGGAGCAACAAGAATGCTGGAAAACCTCTGGGGGTTCCTGTAGTGGTGAGCCATCGTACCCTGAAGGGGAGGTGGTGCACAAAGTGATCCAGGAGGTGTCATCTATTCTGGGGTAAAGATTTGGCCTATTTTATACGTCCCCTGAGTGAAGCCAAGCTGTTCAAACCCAGTTTTCTCTAAGAATTATTGAACAAATGTCAACATGAACTGTGGAAAAACACAAGTGTCACTGAGTCTGACATGTCTGCTCCTGTTATAAGTGTACTGTATATATATACACATATATATATATATATATACACACATATATAT